GTGTGTAGATAGCTGTTAAATTGGTGTCTTTGTGAGGGAGGGAATAATTGGTGGAAACTTCTATTCTGCTATCTTGCTCTACCTTCTGATATGTAAATTATATATCAATAAAGTCATTATTTAAAGAATAAGAGCAGAAAGACATCCAGGGTTCTTACGATATGAGCAGCTTCATAAAACTCACTTAAGAACTTTAAATCAAATTCTCTGGGGTTAGGGCTCTGTTATTTGAATTCTTTAAACAATTTCTCCAGGGATTCTGGTGTTCAGTGTAGTTTGAAGCGGCTCTAAAGCAACTGTAACAACTGTAGCCTATTTTGGAGAATATATTCAAGTTAAACTTTCAGCAAATGTCAGAAACAAGTTTCTTAATCATGACATTACATGGAGCTGTATGTAACATGTGTGAAACTGTAGGATTTACATCCAAAAAAGGAAGGATTCTAAAGACTTCAAGAGATGATTATCTCATAGTGAGGGACTGTACTAAAGGAACTTCCCGAGTCTGCTAGGGGCTTTGTTTCAAGCATAGGAAGTTTTCTGCCTCTGGCTGGCTAGGGGCTTTGTTTCCAGTTTTCCCACCTCTGGCTCTTAGGCGGCTTTGTTCAACGGCAGGGACTTTTCTTGCCTCCGGCCCCTGGAAGCAGAGGCTCAGTGACTCAGGGTTTGAAACCAGTAACCAATCCAGTAAAGGATTCAAACATCAATTAATCCAGAGAAAGTTTGAAAAAAACCCTCTTACCGGATGAGAAGAAGAATGGGGAGGGAATAACTCAGGGGCATAATCTCCAGCCACCCAAGCCTGCAGTGGCACCCCCTCTGGGTCCCCTTCTGCAGTGTGGGAGCTGTCCTTTTGCTCTGCCTACTAAACCATACTACCACACACTCTGGGTCCACGAGTTCTGTCTGAGTTGTGACACTCACCGTGACACCGAGGTCCCCTTCGGGACTGGAGAGGCCAAGATCCCAAATTCCAGGGAATCCAGTTGCAACTAATCCAGTTACAATAGCAGTGCAGAGAAAAAAAGAATGGAAAGTAGAAAGAAGGAGCAAAAACAAGAGAAAGAAAAGGCAAGTGTGAGTGAAAAGACCAGTCAGAAACAGAGAAGACAGAATTTGTGCAAATGGAGTGCTGGTATTCACTCAGGCTTTTCGTATAAGACACACCCAGCAGGGGACAGACCTTAATCTTATTTTCACCGGCATCTATCTTTGAGTTCCCAAAACCTTTCATAATCTATTATAAGTTTCTCTAGAGTTTCCTTTAAAATCCAACCATGACTAGTCCGATTTAGACGGACAGCATTTGCAGGCAGTAAGGTGTAGCTTCTGCAGAAGGGGATGCCGTCTCCATTCACGAGGTGCTATTGTTTCCTTAAGCACCAGGAGCAGGCTTCTTAAATCAATTGACAAGGATTCTTTCTGAGGCTGACTTTAGTTTTTATTTATTTATTTATTTATTTATTTATTTTGAAACGGAGTTTCGCTCTTGTTACCCAGGCTGGAGTGCAATGGCGAGATCTCAGCTCACTGCAACCTCCGCCTCCTGAATCCAGGCAATTCTCCTGCCTCAGCCTCCTGAGTAGCTGGGATTACAGGCACGCGCCACCATGCCCAGCTAATTTTTTGTATTTTTAGTAGAAACAGGGTTTCACCATGTTGACCAGGATGGTCTCGATCTCTTGACCTCATGATCCACCCACCTCGGCCTCCCAAAGTGCTGGGATTACAGGCGTGAGCCACGGCACTGGGCCTGAGGCTGACTTTAAACATGTGGTGAGATGTGCTCTGAGAATCAGATAAAGAATACTTTCCATTTGTGAAAAAGGCCTGGTAAGCGCAATAGAGTCATTCTAAACACACAATATTTTCAAAATAAATAACAAATAAATAAATCGCAATAAAGATAATGTATTCCTAAGGAAATCACGTTGACTTTTTTTCTCTTTTTGTAATATGTGAAATAAGAATAAGATAATTTCTAGACGGGAATTTTACAATTTGATAGCAAGCTAAAATGAAGCAATCTGAAAAGGAAATGAAGGAGATCCCGAAACACCGTTGCCTTCCCAGCTGGGACCCAGAATAAGGAGAAGCAAGGTTAGCAAGGGAATGAATGACAAGCTCTAATTAGATCTGGTTTTGTGATGTGTGTAAACCTTTAAAAATTCTTGAAGCCGTGAAAAAAGTTTTGAAGAGAGAAGCATAATAGTGTTTCCTATATCATCAATAGAATATGGTTTTCCTTAGTGTCTCGTGAATGGAATAACAGGTAATTTAGTGCTGTCATTCTCTAAGTTAGTTGGAGTATGTGACTTCTAGACCGGCAGAACACCTCCTGGGAATTTGCTGGCATACTCAGTCTCCATCCCAGGCCTACAGAACAGCAAACAGGGGACCATCCCAGCAGTCTGACTTTTAACAAGCCCTCCAGGATACCTGTGCCCACTAAATTTGAGAATCATGCCTATATATTCATTTAAGCTTATCTAAAGGCTGTGTTAAAGAAAAATACCATGCAGTTAGATTTCATGCATTTAGAGTCCATGAGGCCAACCATCTTCTGCTTTTCCTGTCTCTGGTGCTATAAAGTGGAAAGTCGAGATGACACCTTCCTTGCCATGGAATACTGCATTTCTGCAGTGATGCCCTGAGAGAATTGTCAGGGTGTGGAGAGAATAGGGGTGGAACGTGAGAAGGGTCATCTAATTGGAAATAGTCCCATTATTGAGAATCAAGAAGATTTTCCATGGCTTTTCTGTGAGAACTATCATTTTTGCCCTGAAGTGGCATATGGGGATGATAATTTTAATGAAACACAGTCGAAACTGACTTGAATTCGAAGAGAATTGTAGCCCTCTTGGTAACAGGCTCGGGACGCCCAGGCTGGAGTGCAGTGGCGCAATCTCGGCTCACCGCAACCTCTGCCTCCTGGGTTCAGGCAATTCTCCTGCCTCAGCCTCCGGAGTAGGTGGGACTACAGGCACGCGCCACCATGCCCGGCTAATTTTTGTACTTTTAGTAGAGACGGGGTTTCACCTTGTTGACCAGGATGGTCTCGATGTCTTGACCTCGTGATCCACTAGCCTCGGCCTCCCAAAGGTGGTCCTTATTTTAACATTTGCTCTGGCAGCTCCTCTAGCCCAGTCTTCACCTATGCCCTTCTGTCAGTAACAATGAGTACCAACAGATACTTCAAGGGTTTTCTTTTTAAAATTTATTCTGCAAACTTGGTCATCCTGGTTCATAATCCATTAATTTCTCCTGAACAATGTGGACAACTAATGTCTGAAAGAAGATAAAAAATGCAAGGATTTTCTGTGTGATCTCCTTCAGTTCTGCTCTGATCTTAGTTATTTATTCTCTTCTGCTAGCTTTTTAATTTGCTTGATCTTGCCCCTCTGGCTCTTTTAATTGTGAAAATAGGGTGTCAATTATAGATCTTTTCTTGCGCCTCATGTAGGCATTTGGTGCTATAAATTTCCCTCTAGACACTGCTTTAAATGTGTCCCAGAGATTCTGGTACATTGTGTCTTTGTTCTCGTTGGTTTCAAGGAACATTTGAATGTTGTCCTGGATAATATCCTGAAGAGTGCTGTCCAGCTTGGATTCTTTCTCCCTGTCATATTTAGTTACACCAATCAAACGTAAATTAAGTCTTTTCACATAATCCCATATTTCTTGGAGGCTATGTGCATTTCTTTTCACTCTTTTTTTCTAATCTTGCCTTCTCATTGTATTTCATTGAGTTGATCTTCAATCTCTGATATCCTTTCTTCTGCTTAATCAATTCAGCTATTGAAACTTGTGTATGCTTCACAGAGTTCTCCTGCTGTGTTTTTCCAGCTCCATCAAGTCATTTATGTTCTTCTCTAAGCTGGTTATTCTAGTTAGCATTTTGTCTAACCTTCCTTCCGGGTTCTTAGTTTGTTTGCATTAAGTTAGAACATGTTCCTTTAACTCAGATAAGTTTATTATCTCACCTTCTGAAGCCTGCTTCTGCAAATTCATCAAATTCATTCTCCGTCCAATTTTGTTCCCTTGCTGGTGAGGAGTTGTGATCCCTTGGAGGAGGAGAGGAGTTCTGGTTTTTGTGAATTCAGCCTTTCTGTGATAGTTTCTTCCTATGTTCCTGGATTTATCTACCTTTTGTCTCTAAGTTGGTGACTTTTGGATGAGGTTTCTGAGTGCATGTCCTTTCTGTTGATGTTGAAGCTATTTTTTTTTCCGTTTTTTAGCTTTCCTTCTAACAGTTGGGACCCTCTGCTGCCGGACTGCTGGAGGTCCATTCCAAAACCTCTTCCTTCCTCTGGTAGCTGAATCCCAGAAGGGTACCCACCAGATGTCAGTCAGAGCTCTCCTGTATGAGGTGTCTCTTTGGATATACGGGGGCCCAGGGAGCCACTTCAGGAGGCCGTCCGCCCCTTATCAGAGCTCAAGTGTTCTGCTGGGAGCTCTGTTGCTCCCTTCAGAGCTTCTGTGCAGGGACATTGAAGTCTGCTGCAGCAGAACTCACAAAAGCCCCTTTTCCCAGATGCCCTGTCCCGGGAAGTTGGGGCTTTGTTTATAAGTCCCTGATGGGCTGCCGTCTTTTTTCAGAGATGCTCTGCCCAACTAGGAGGGACTCTAGTCACTGCCTGCCTGCAGAGGCATTGCTAAGCTGCCGAGGGCTCCGCCCAGCTGCTGTGTAAACTTCCTTGCAATTTTGTTGATACAGGCAGGGTTAGAACTGCCTCTGTAATGGCAGACACCTCTCTTCCCACTGAGCTCAACTGTCCCAGGTGGAGCTCAAACTGCTTTGCTGGCTGTGAAAATCTCAGGCCCATGTGTTTCAGTTTGCTGGTCTTTGTGGGAGTGGGACCTGCCAAGCCAGATCCCTTTGCCCCTGGCTTCAGCCCCCTTTTTTTCAGAGGACTGGGTGGTTCTGTCTCACAGGCATTCCAGATGCTGGCGAAAACAGCCGCCCAGTTTTGCACTAGAAATCTGTGGTGCCAGCTAAAATGGCTGCCCAGTTCTGTGCTGGAAACCCTGGTGCTGGTGTTTTCAGGCTGATCAGAAGCTCCTGGTGTGCGGGCTGTAAAGATCGTGGGAAAAGCACAGTATCTGAGCCGGAGTGCCAGATTATCCAGAAAAGTCCCCAATGGCGGTGGGATGGTCCTCTGGCCCCTCATACTTTCCAGGTGAGGCAGTGACCCACCATGCCTCCGTTTGCCCTACTTGGGCTACACCCACTGTCCAACCAGTCCCATTGTGATGACCCTGGTACCTCAGTTGGAAATGTGGCAGTCCCATTGTGATGACCCTGGTACCTCAGTTGGAAATGTGGCAGTCCCATTGTGATGACCCTGGTACCTCAGTTGGAAATGTGGCAGTCCCATTGTGATGACCCTGGTACCTCAGTTGGAAATGCTGAGATCATTCACCTTGTGCATCACTCTGGCTGGGAACTGCACTCTGGAGTTGTTTCTATTCAGCCATCGGGCAGATGTCCCCAAGAATTTGTTGTAGAAAAAAATAATTTGGTCTGATAGGTTTATGAGTCACTTTTTTTTAAAGGACAGACGTACATTGCACCACTTCTTCTGTCTTTCTGCATCTTTCTGTCGTCTTAACATTTGCCAAATTATATTAGCTGCTGAAGTCTTCCTTCTAGACTTTATTTTGGGTTTCTGCCTTACAGAAATCTGTTACTATAACTTTACTGAAATATCAGGAAGAAGAAGAGACTGACAGATTTGTCTAGTCTTGGACCAGAAGTTCTGTAATGCGATGCTATTATTGTTCATTTCTGCATTAAATACTTCCCCTGAGCTCAAGATGAGGGAGTTGAAGAAGGAATGACGAAATGTCTTAGGCCTCATTAGGGATGTTTGTCTTGGTCCCAAGAACAATGGGAGATAATTGAAGTGTTTTGGGGAGAAGTATGCCACGGGTGTTTAGGGAGGATAGCCGGGAATCACAGGAGCTAGTACTCTGTGGTCACTTAGACTTGGGTTGATGTCCTGACTTTGCTGCTGACCAGATGTGGCTCTCTGCAGCTTGCTTCATCACTGAAACCCTCATTTTTTCATTTGTGTAGTGATGTCAGTAGTACTTACTTTATTTGCTTGGTTGTTACACAAACTAAATTTAAAATTTTGCATATAGCTCTAAAACAGTACAAATTACATAATAAGTACTTAATAATTGTCAACCAAATTATTATTTTCAAGAAAAGGAGCATCACTAAACACAGTGCTAATATAGAATGAACATAAGGCTGCTTTCTCTTTGAGTAGATCCCAAAATAGCTCAGTAAGTATTTCAAATTTCCCAGTAGCTGGAGTAGAAATAGTTGATGGCAAATTAAATACAAACATATTATTTATTTTTAGTCGGATTTAAAATTGTTGGACATATTATGGCAGCTAGTCAATCTTATTCCCTTGGTTCACTATAACTGGCTAATTTTTAATCTGTAGACCAAAATCAATGACCTGTCTGGGTAAACTGAAGTAACTTGAAGGAGACATGTCAAGGTCAATGTTATAAAGTCACTAGGCCTAAGAAAAGCCATATCACAGCGTTTAAAGCACAAGCTTGGTAATCGAAAAATCCGACTGGGTACATTAAAGCTGGTATTTTTATAGTGTTATCATTTGAAAAACAATGTAATACTTTTAGGGGGTAAGCAGATATTTTGTGTAGTGGGATCTGTCTACTAATATGTCTGCTTATTTATCTATATATTTTTATTAGACTAATTTTGGTGACTCAGAGGAATTCCAGTTGGGATAAAATTATTGCATTTATAAGTCAATAATAAACACCAGCCCAGTTTCAATTAATCATTTTCTTAATGATAAAAGATAACTATTAATATTTTATGATTATTACAAATATATTGCAGTAGAAATTTTAGCTTGTTATAATATCAATGTCATTGAAAATATTCTCAATTTAAAGGAGTCTTTTCTGTCTACTGCCTCACGTTTTCCATTTGAATCCTGACTTCTCCTTTATCCCTTTTACATCCCTCTCCTTTGAACTAAATTTTAAGGAATGTGTGGTAATCTCATTGACTACTCTCTGTCATAGTTTTTTTTTAAATGGTAAATATTTTAAAAACAAACTTTTGTTCTTTGGTTTACTTGCAAAACGGACCTCATGAAGGCTGCACAATGTTTTGAGTGTAGTGTGTCCTGCATTTGCCCCGAGAGTCTCCTTTGAGTCACCCTGTGGGATTCTGCTAAAATTAAAGACTCCGTGTAGATACTCATAGGTTTTACTCTAGAGGCATCTGTCTTTGATTTTCTTAATTGCTCTTTTTATATAATGCTACATTTTATAATCCTGGCAAAGTCACAAACTGAGTCAGTCAAGGGCAATGAGTTACTGCTGGATCTGAAACTGAACCAATAATTTCTGTGGCAAATTTATAATTTGAATTTTTCAGTAAGAACTCTGAGGGAGATGTGTTTTTTTAAGTTTTCTTTTGCATTTTATGTTTTGGGGTACATGTGAAGAACATGCAAGATTGTTGCATAGGTACACACATGGCAGTGTGATGTGCTGCCTTCCTCCCCATCACCTATATCTGGCATTTCTCCCCAGGCTATCTCTCCCCAACACCCCATCCCTTGCTGTCCCTCCCCTATTTCCTCCTGACAGACCCCAGTGTGTGATGCTTCCCTCCCTATGTCCATGTGTTCCCATTGTTCAACACCCACCTATAAGGGAGAACATGTGGTGTTAAAACTACATTTATTTTTGATTTTTTAAATTTTAAGTTGCCAGATAACATTATGTATTTTTGTCATGTAAAATATGTATACATTTTGCATTGGTTAACTCCAGCTAATTAACAAATGCATTAGCTAACAGTTATTTTTCTGGTTAGAGCACAAAACATCTACTCTCTTCAAATTTTTCAAGAATGCAGCACATCATCATTAACTATAGTCACTTTATTGAAAAAGAGATCTTATTAAATTTACCCCTCCAGTCTAACTCTTACTTATACTTTGACCATCTTCGAATCCCCCTCACCTCCAACCCACCCCGCCTCTGCCAAGTGCCATTGTATTCTAGAAGATCAACCGTTTTAGATTCCACATATGAGCAAATCCTGTGGTATGTGTCTATCACTAGCTTATTTTCCTTAATATAATGTCCTCCAGGTTCATCCATGTTGTAGGAAATAACAGGATTTTATTCTTTTCATGGATGAAGAGTATTTCACAGCACATATTCTATTATGAATAGTGCATATTGGAGTGTAGCTATCTCTTCAACATGCTGATTTCATTTCCTTTGGATATATACCCAGCATAGGGATTGCTGGATAATATAAACATTCTTAAAATTCCTAGGGAAGGTCAAAAGACTTCAAATAACCAAATCATTCTTGAGTAAGAGGAACAAAGCTGGAGCCATCACACTAACTGACTTTATAAGCTTCAAAACCTGGCTACGTGACTAGAATGCTATAGTAACCCAAACAGCATGGTACTGGCATTAAAAACAGATACATTGACCAATGACACAGAATAGAGCCCAGAACTAACTCAACACATTTACTACCAACTGATTTTTGACAAAGATGCCAAGAACACACATTAGGGAAAGGACAGTCTTTTCAATAAATGCTGTTGACAAAACTGGATATCCACATGCAGAAGAAAGTAATCAGAATAATTTATTATTATAAGAAAATAATAATATATTTTACCATATATAAAAATCAATTGAAAATTGATTAAAGACTTACATGTAAGACACAAAAGCATGACATTTGTAAAATAAAATCTAGAGGAATTTCTTCATAACATTGGTATTGGCAAAGATTTTCTGGATAAGGCCTTAAAATAACAAAAGCAACAATGGACAAACAAAATTACATCAAACTAACAAGTTTCTACACAGCAAAGGAAACAATCAACAGGTTGAAGAAACAACCTACAGAAAATAATTGCAGACTGTACATCTGGCAAGGGGTTAATATCCAAAATATATCAGGAACTCAATTCAATACCAAAGAAACAAGTTGATTTTTAAATGAACAATAGAGCTGAAAAGACATTTCTCAAAACAGTACATACAAATAGCCAAGAGATATATTTTAAAATGTTCAACATCACTAAACAACAGAAGAATGCAACTCAAAGCCACAATGAGATGTCACCTTTTCCAAGTTGCAATGGTGATCACAAAAACAAATAGTATAGTATAACAGATGGTGAGGATGTGGAAAAATCTTTACACAGCTGGGTGGGAATGGAAGTTAGTGTGGCGATTCCTCCAAAACATTAAAAGTACTTTCAGTAAAATAAAATTTCATGTAAGCGAATCTTTGTGGAAATAACTACAATGCATGGCTGTACTCCATAAGCACAGGGCTGTGTATGTGGCAGCAACTCACTGGTTATTTGATGAAGGAACGTTTAATAAGCCCTCAGAAGAGGCAGAAGGACAGGGAGTTCATAGGAAGAAAAAGGGAGCAGAGAATACTTCTTGGGGCAAGGGGCAGCATGGCATGGAAGCTGGATACCACTGGGAAAGCAGCATTTGCATTTTTCTATGAAGAGCTTGGTGCAGGGAATGTCTGGGGAAGATATGGGAATGGCATTTATCACTCATTCTAACATTACTGATTGTTTCATTAATGGATTCAATTCAACATATTAATTTCTTGTCTACTAGGTTCTATATACTGTGCCTGAGTTGGGAAAACAGAGTCAATGTGCAATGATCCCAGCCTCCACGTGACATATTCAGTGGCTCTGGTACTCTGCCACCATTTTATCAACTATCCTCACTGCATTTGGCTCACATATGTCCTGGGATTTGGAGGATGGGCAGCAGGTACTTCCCTGGAGCTTGGAGAGAAAGAGGAGCTACTTTAAACAGTAGACAGCAGGGAGCTTGACCAGTGCTGTTTTTTGACCCGGTTCCCCCAATTTTCTGATCCCATTTCCTTTGCAATATTACTGAAAAAAAAAAAAACCACTCAAAAACGTCCTCACATCTCATGACCTCATTCATTTTCCCCAGCCTGTTTATGAATTACACACACACACACACACACACACACAACACAAACACACACATCACATACACACATCACATACACACACATCACACACACATCACATACACACATCACATACACACACATCACATACACACACACATCACATACACACACATCACATACACACACACATCACATACACACACATCACATACACACACACATCACATACACACACATCACATACACACACATCACATACACACACATCACATACACACACATCACACACACACACACCACATACACACACACATCACACACACACATCACACACACACATCACATACACACACACATCACATACACACACACATCACATACACACACATCACATACACACACACATCACACACACACATCACATACACACGCACATCACACACACATCACACACACACACATCACACACACACATCACATACACACACATCACATACACACACACATCACATACACACACACATCTAACACACACACACATCACATACACACACATCACATACACACACACATCACATACACACACACATCACACACACACACACACACACACACACACATCTGTCATTGCAGTGGGATTTTGTGTAGCAGCCAGAAGGTGCATGTTCTCCATCTACCAACTTGAAAACTAGGAAAGCTTTTGATTTTGCCATGTGTGATTTTAAGCTGCCTATCTCATCAATTCATGTCTCTGCAATAGTTTTGCATTAAAGTCTTCTGTTTATTTTAGATAATCAAAATACCATCTGCACACACTGATAATTTCACTGCACTCCAACCCAAATAATACCTCATAATTCTTTTTCATCTAGTCATATTGGCTAGTGTTTTCAGAATAACGTATTTGTGATGTTTGTTTGGGACAGAAATTTAACACCTTAGTAAAGAGATACCATTCCAGTCCTATTTACTTCAAATATAGGAATAAATACAAATTTTTTTCTAAAGGACTCTGTAGAGGATGTCTTAGATTTGCTCCTTTTATTTGATAATATGATGTTACAGTTTTCCTGTATGTCCGAGGTAAGCACTACTTAGACATTGTTAACTTAAAATGAAAAAAAGATACCAGAGAATTATCTCCAAATATGTTTCATTTACTTGGAAATGAGAAAAAAGAATTATAATCTAGAATGTATAGAAAACAAACCACAAGTGCATTTAGTAAGGGAAGGATAAAGAGAAGATTTTATTAACAAACAGGGAGAGGTTCTTATGAACTGCTTAGAAACAGATTTCATGGGTTCCAGAGGCTCAAAGCCAGAGCTGTTGTGAATTTATTAGTGGAGATGATACTAGTGGGCAAGTATTCCTTTGAGAGCATCTTATCAGAATTACTGTAGTCCTGAAAAATGTCTAGTGATAAACCTTGTCTGAGCAGGAGACTCAGAAGGTTGTGAAGGGGTTTCTTGCAGGGTTTTTAGAAAGTCCTTGGGATTTGTTCTTAGACATGTACACGTTCTCTCCTTCATCCTTCCTGGCCCTATTTTGTCTGGGTCTCACATAGTTAATTTCATCCTGATATCTGCAACTTTCTTGGCATTGTATATTGTTATTTACTATATAAATTCATTTTCTAGCATTTTATTTAACATTTATATATATCTTTTAATAAATGAGACAGGGTTTTTTTCCCATTTTCATGCTATCTTTATAGACATTTTATTGCATTTTTGTTGCTAGAAGAATTAGCTACTTTCACCATTTGTATACCTAATGTCAGACGTCTTCTTAAGATGGAGTCTTGAGAAGGATGGATAGAAAATTCATTCTAGAGTCTCTTTGAATTTTACTCATATAGGTTATACCATGAACAGGCTGATAAAACCACTCAGCCAGAAACACGCACTACCTTTCATGAAAAGGATCGTTGATTTGGTCAGTGGAAACAAGAGCACAAAAAAGCAGAGCCAAGAATCACAAGGAATTTATTCCTAGGCCTTGAAATCTAATCAAGAAGTTTCCAATGTTTTTCTGACTCAGTTTTAGAACTGCGTTAGCCTAGTGATTCCTTTCTACCTTCCATTCTCCCCTTTTGAAATCGTCATGTCTATAATAGTTTAGGATCATTTTTCTATACAGGCCTCACCACCCACTATCTCTCTAGGCCCACAGGTTCACAGATGGGAAGGAATTTTTCTCCTGGAGCAGAATTCACCCAGTAGCCTCATCCACGCCTTGACTTAATATAGACAGATGGTGAGATGTTGGTCTATAGTCAGTGCAAGTGTTTTACTCGGAAGGGACATGAATCACTGGGGCCAGAGGGCAGATTGTAGACAAGCAGAGGATAAGCTAGTCTTCACGATTCCTGCAGTCTGGCTATATAAATGCCCTCTTTTTGAGCATGGGTGGGACCTTGTAATTTTCTTCTAGCCAACAGAATATGTTAAAGACTGTGGGACTTTGCAGATGTAATTAAAGTCCCAAATCAGTTGACATCAAAATCAGAGAGACTATTGTAGTGGGTCTGAGTTTATCAGGTAAAAGGACTTTTAAAGGATATTGAGCCCTCATTTAAGCAAAAGACTTCCTTTGCCAGCTTGATGAGACAAGCATCACATTGAAAAAGAACACAGGACAATGCAGAATGCCTCTAGAAACTGTGATCTCAGGACCTGACATCCTCCAGCTGACAGCCAGAAAAAACCAACATGGGAAGTATTTCTACCAACAACCCAAATGAACTTAGATAAAAGTGGGTTTTCCCCAGCTAAGCCTCCAGATGAGAATGCAGCCCATGCCTAGACTGAACCCTGGCAAGACTCTGAGTATTGGATCCAGCTCACCTGTGCCTATGCTCAGACCCGTGGAAACTGAAAAGTCCTATGTATAGTTTATTTTAAACCCTGAATGTTGCAGTAATTTGTTACATAGCAGAGAAAAATAATACATAATGTTTTTTAAAATGTTGTAACTCTGAAATAATAAAATGAAGAAGAATGTGCTCCAATTATTAAAATATTCCTAAGCTGGCAAAAGAATGCATTAATCAAATAAGAATGTATACAAAATGCAAAAATAATCAAATGGTGGC